TGAAATAGATTGGGTTAAACTGGATTATAACTGAATAGAAAATAAGGGTGAGCTTTATTTTGAGAAACTTTCAGTCCACATATATGTGTATACACACACAGACAAATGCAGCACATGTATGTGCTGGGCTTCCATATAAAATGTATGTTTAACTGTGGGTGTAGATAAAACTTTTTGGAAATGTTATTTAGAGAAGCTTTTGTATGTTAGTATAGGAAATATATAAGAAGATTCATTGAAGCATTGGTTAAATAATGCAAAATTAAAAGCAATCTAGCACTTCCAGTCAGGATGGTAGAGTAAATGCTATGCTCATCTCCAACATCAAAATTACAACTAAATTACAGAGCAACCATCATGCAGAACCACCTGAAGACTAGCTGAACAGAAGTCCTGTAACTAAGGATGTAAAGAAGAAGCCACAAAGAGACCGGTGGGAGGTCTCAGAGACACAGCATAGGCAGGTCCCATGCCCACAGTGTGGTGATTAAGAATTGGGAGAGATATCTCAGCTGTGGACGTCCCCCTAAGCAGTAAGGGACCCCAGACCCTGCTCCCCAACCTGGGGCACCAGTGCCAGGAAGGGGAATCCGCCATAACATATGGCTGTGAAAATCAGCAGGGGTTACATCCCAGTGATAGAGGGCTGCTGGAGTCCCAGGTGTTTCTCTTGAGGGGCCTGCACACCCTCTCTCTCCCTCCCTCCTTCCCTCCCTCCCAGGTTTAGATGCTATAGCTCAGATGCAGCACCTGGAAAAGCACCAGGGACATACAGGGAGGACTGAAATGACTGCTTCAGGGCACAGCTGACTGGAGAGGCCTGGGTCAGGGCTGCTCTCTCTGGGATAGAAGCATTGGCAGGTGCCAGGGCTCCTTTGTTGAGCTTTACCCTCACCAAGCTGACAAGTGCAGCCGGGCACCAAATCTCAATTCCCCATTAACTGGCTTAACACTGTTCACCCTGCCCTGGTGAGTCCCCGAGGCCTTGCCCCACCAACTCTCACTAGAGGCCCAAGCCACTTCCAGTGGCTTTTCCATACACGTGGCCTGCCTTTGCTCGGGCTGAAAACTTTCCAAAAGTCTCTCAAAAGGCCACAACACCAAAAAAGCAGCTGCCAGCCTCTGCTTGCCCTTGCGTCTTGCTGAGTCTCCCCAAGCCCAGAACAAGCGGCGACCAGTCTCAACTTCCATAGCTACTTCCATCAGGTGGCCCCACGACTCCATAAACTGTGGCCAGTGTTGGTTGGGAATGTAGCTTCGACTAAGAAGCCACAAGCTCAGCACAAGTGGCAGCCACAGAAAGACTCTAACCAGGGCACTAATGACAACTGGCCTCAGTTCGTAGCATAGCCTCTCCAAGTGCCTCCAAACCTAGAAGAAGTGGTAACGAATTATAGATCATTTTGTAGTTCCCACTAGGTGGTTCCAAGCCAGGCACAAACAATGGCTACCCTTGGCCTGCACTGGAGCCCCTCCCAAGAGGCTCCAGCATCAACATACCCAGTGGCCACCTTCAGATCACACAAGAGCACCACCCAACCAACTCCACAAATGACCCACGCCGAGGGCAGACTCAGCTGGCATTAGAAGCCTGCTAAAGCGACTCTTGGTCCATGGGGTCAGCCCCTCCCCCACCCCCACTCCACAACAGCTTGTCTGCTGTGGTCACAGCTAATCTTCATAGGCAGTCAGCCTGAAGATTAATCCCACCCACAGATGTGCCAACAGCAATTAAGTTTCAACTACAACAGGAGGGCACACACAACGCACATAAGAGCACCCTTAGAGCTTAGGTGACCATGGATACAATGCCACTGAGCCTCAAGGACACAACCAAAGCAGTTCTAAGAAGAAAATTTATAGCAACACAGGCCTACCTCAATATCCTTGATGAACACAGATGCAACAATTCTCAAAATATTAGCAAATTAAACTCAGCAATAGATTAACAAGATCATTCAGTAGGATCAAGAAAGATTTATTCCCAGGTTGCAAGGTTGGTTCAATATATGCAAATCAATGAACATGATATACTACATAAAAAAGTGAAAGATAAAAATCATAGGAACATATCAATGGATGCTTAAAAAGCAAAAAGCATTTGACAAAATCCAACAGCCATTTATGATAAAAACTCTCAGCAAAGTGGGGCTAGAGGGAGCGCACCTACACATAATTAAAGCCATGTGTGGACAAACCCACAGCTAACATCATACCCAACAGTGGAAGCTTAAGCTTTTTCTTTAAGATCAGGAGCAAACAAGGATGCCATTTTCACCACTGTTAATCAATATAGTATTAGAAGTCCTAACCTCAGTAATCAGACAAAAGGGAAAAAAAGGCATCGGAACTGGAAAGGAAGAGACAAAACTATAATAATTTGTAGAGGATATGGTACTATATCTTGAGAACCCCAAAGATTCCATAAAAATTATTAGAATAAATGATTTTAGAAAAATAGCAGAATACAAATTAAATATTAGTAAATAAGTTGCATTTTTATATACCAATAACAAACTATCAGAAAGAGAAATTAAGGAAACAACTTACAATTGCATCAAAAGAGTAAAATACCTAAAAATAAATTTAACCAAGAAGATAAAAACTTGTACTTGAAAAGCAGCAAGACATCAACAAAAGACCTTGAAGATGATATAAATAAATGGAAAGATATATCATGCTCATGGATAGGAAGAATTAACACCATTAAAATATTCATAATACCCAAAGCGATCTACAGATTCAATGCAATCCTTATCAAAATACCAATGGCATTTTTCACAGAACTAGAACAAATAATCCTAAAATTTATATGGAACCACAAAAGACCCTGAATAGTCAAAGCAATCTTGAGAAAGAAGAACAAAATTAGAGGTATCATGCTTTCAAACTATGCTACAAGGCCATAGTAATCAAAACATCATGGCTATGGACAAAAAATAAACATATAGATCTTTAGAACACATTAGAGAGCTCAGAAATGAATCCTTGCCTATATGGTCAATTAACATTGGTGGCAAGGCATACAATGGGGTAAAGACAGTCTCTTCAATAATTGGTGTTTGGAAAACAGGACAGATACATACAAAAGAATGAAACTGGTTCACTTTCTTATACCATATACAAGAATAAACTCAAAATTGATTAAAGACTTAAATGTCAGACCTGACACCATAATATTCCTAGAAGAAAATATGTATAGGCAGTAAAATCTTTGACATTGCTCTTAGTAATTTTTTATATGTCTCCTCAGGGAAACAAAAAATAAATAAATGGGACTACATTAAAGTAAAGAGTTTTGCACAGAGAAGGAATCCATCAACAAAATGAAATGACAATCTATTGAATGGGAGAAGACCACAGCCGGTGTGGCTCGGTGGTTGAGCACCAACCCATGAACCAAGTGGTCACTGGTTGATTCCCAGTCAGGGCAAATGTCTGGGTGGTAGGCTCGATCCCCAGTAGGGGGTGTACAGGAGACAGCCAATAGATGATATTTCTCTCTCATTGATGTTTCTATCTCTTTATCCCTCTCCCTTCCTCTCTCTCTAAAAGTAGTAAAAACATATTTAAAAATAGTGAATGGGAAAAAATATCCACCAATGATAAGAGGTTAATATCCAAAGTATCTAAGATACTAATACAACTTAACACCAAAAAAGACCCGAACATACATTTCTCCAAAGAGGACATACAGATGGACAATAGACATATGAAAAGATGCTCAATGTCACTAATCATCAGAAAAATGCAAATTAAAAACACAGTGAGATATCACCTCACATCTGTCAGAATGGCTATCACTAATACATCAACAAACAACAAGTGTTGGTGAGGAAATGGAAAAAAGGGAACCTCCATGCACTCACTGTTGGTGGGAATGTTAACTGGTGTGGCCACTGTGGAAAACAGTATGGAGCTCCCTCAAAATATTAAAGGTAGAAATACCAAATGACCCAGTAATTCTACTTCTGGGTATTTACCCAAATAAATCTAAAACTCCAATTTAAAAAGATATATGCACCTGTATGTTCATAGCAGCTTTGTTTACTATAGCCAACATATGGAAGCAAACTAGATGTCCATCAATAGCTGTATGTATAAAGATGTGGTACATACACACAATGGAATATTAATCATAAAAAAGAGTGAAATCTTATCACTTGTGACATGAATGGACCTAGAGGGTATTATGCTAAGTGAAATAAGTCAGACAGGGACAAATACCATATGATTTTACTTTATGTGGATTCTAAAAACCAAAATGAACAAACAAACAGAAACAAATTGGTGGTTGCCAGATCGGAGAAGGTTGGTGGTAGGATTAAAAATGTGAAGGGATTAAGAAGTACAAACTGCCGGTTATAAAAATAGCCACAGAGCTGTGATGTGCAGCAGAGGGAATACAGTCAATAATACTGCAATGTCTGTGTATGGTGCCAGATCGATACTAGACTTATCTGGGTGATCGGGTATATAAATGTGTAATCATGAAGTGAAATACTGGAAATTAATATAACATTGTATGTCATTTGAAATAGAAAAGTAAAATAAAAATTTAAAGAAGCAATCTGAGTGTTCATCAATAGAAAAACAAATATACATAGATAGTGGTCTGTTCATGAAACATTACACTACATAGCAGTTAAAATGAATGGGCCAGAGCTATGTTTCTGAAATCTAATGCTAGATTCAGAAAAACCCAGTGTGCTTCCATTTATTTAAAGGTTCAAAACATGCAAAACGACAGTCCCTACTGTTGAAAGACCCATATGTATACGGAAGTAGGAAAGCATGCAAATTCAGGACAGTGTTTATCTGTGGGGTGGGAGGAAGGCACATGGGATTGAAGAGGAATCAGGTAGGTCTGAAGTGAACTTGTCAAAATGTTAGGATTGCCTAGAACTCAATACTGACACACAGAGTTTTGTTATTCTATTCTCCCGATTTGTTGTTGTTGTTGCTTTTTAAAAATGGTTTTGTAAGTCACAGGTACTCACTTGAGACCAGATGGCTGGCTGGAGGGTAATCTGGAAGAAACCCAGGATGTAATCCTGACCGAGTTCCAAGCTAGTCTTCTTTCCACATGGCTCCCAGTTCATGATCTGTCTGCAAATAAAGGATTTGTGTCATTTTTGGTTCTAATCTTAGTCATTTATTTTTACCTGAGAGATATTGTTCCCCAAAGACCACCAGGCCACGTCTGCTCTGGCCGGAAATAGCACAAAGCACATTTACTCTGAGGCTGAGCTGTTGCTTCCCAGTTTGGCTCTGCTTTCCAACCTTGCTCACTCATTGCAACAAAACACTGAGCCATTGAAAGATCTTTAGAGAGCCCTAACTGGTTTGGCTCGGTGAATAGAGCGTCGGCCTGCAGACTGGGGGGTCCCAGGTTCGATTCCGGTCAAGGGCATGTACCTTGGTTGTGAGCACATCCCCAGTAGGGGGTATGCAGGAGGCAGCTGATTGATGTTTCTCTCTCATCAATGTTTCTAACTCTCTATCCCTCTCCCTTCCTCTCTGTAAAAAATCAATAAAATATATTTAAAAAAAGAAAAAAAAAAAGAAAGATCTTTAGAGAGAGAGAGAAAGATGATCTAAATATGCAAAAAGTATAAAGGTGGGAAGAAAGAGTGAGAGGGGAGAAGAGGGGAGGAAAAGGGAAAAGAGGGGAGGAGAAGGAATAGGAGAGGGGGAGGAAAGAGAGAAAGAATCAGCTTTGCATGAGGAAATAGACAAACTCACAGGAAGTGATCAAATAAAGTCAGAATATTGCTGAGAAACCATGAAACAAGCATGGGATGTATTTTAGATGTGTATAACTTGAAGGAGTAGCACTTCTATAGACTTTGAGCACAAATGTACTATCTAATGGGAGGGAGTTCATTAACTTTTTTCCAGTCTATCATATGACAAAAACAAGGAAACAAAGGATACTTTGGCAACTCCTGGAGACCCTTACACAGAGAGATTTATTGAGCTTTTGGAAGCATGACTTCCAGGTCAACTTGAGCTTTTCAGGTGGGTGAGCCTAAGCTTTCTGCTGTTGGAGGCAGTAACCCAGACAATAAGAAGATAACCCTTATATAGGACAGGATCTGTGACAGATCATTCTCTGGAGTCAAACAGCAAACTGGACATAACTATGAATCAGATTCTTCTCACCCTGGGATGCCTATGAATGATATGAACTATGAACATATTCTTTCTGTACTGCTGGAGACAACAGCCCTATAACAGAATTCCTTGTATTGTATCGAGAGCAATGTAGCTACCACTAACATTGATTGAGCACACACTCTTATAAATCCTTTCTGTCATTTAGTCTCAACCATCTTCCCAGGAAAGTACTCTTGCTAGCCTCCTTTTATAGCAAACAAAACTGAGACCCAGGAAGGTTAAGTCATATACATCAGGTCCCCCGAAAGAAGTGTGGAGCCAGGATTTGGAGCCAGTTGCTGCTAACAGACTGAGCTTTTATGTGCCACACTATGCCCAGGAGACAGTATCCTATCTAATAAAAGACAAAAAGGGTAATTAACCGTACCTCCGCTATGCTTCCCATTGGCTAATCAGCGAGATATGCAAATTAACTGCTGTCCCCTATTGCCCTTCAGGGCTTCTCCACCTCCCCCTGCTCCTGAGGGGCAATCGGAGCAGCAGCCACCACTCACACCCACTAACAGCACCGACCCCACTCGCACCCGCTGCTGGCACTGGCCCCAATCGCTCCGCATGGTCAGCTCATGGGAGCGGCGGTGGCAGGAGCAGGGCTGCTGGCAGACAGGGGACCAGGGGCCGCAGCAGGACGGGACAGGTGAGGGTGCAGAGGATGGGTTGAGACCCGCCCCTGTGCCCACTGCAGCTTTGCGGCCCACAATTCCTTTCAAGGTGCACAAATTCATGCACTGGGCCCCTAGTTTAAAATAAGTGGAAGCAGCTATTGAGATGACGGCATCAAGTTATATGAGGACCAGGGGACCTGGGCTTCAGATACAGCAGATCTAAGGGGCAAAAATTCATATGTCAGTGAAGGTGGGGATGGTTTGCTGAAAATCAGAATCCTTTCCTTGGAGCTCCCAGCAACCTAGAACATCCGCCACGGGGCACCTATGTGTCCTACCCCACCTAAATTATGGCTAATTCTGCAATGTCCCTCAACCCTCAGACAGCACAAATGGAGATGGACTTGGAAATTATATTGGATGAAAGTTGGAATGCTTAAGCTTGAGTTCAGTGTTGTCACTTACTAACTAAATGGATTCATTTCTGTGAAATAAGAAAAAGAATGCCTGCTACTTAGAACAGGCAAGTCAAACCAGATAGAGGCACAGAGAACTCTGTACACATTGTTGACACATGAAATATTTTTTTTTCTTTGTTCCATAAGTCAAAGCAGAACATTACAACAAAATATTGGAATTGTCTACACAAGACCCTTGCAGATCTCAAAGAGCCTTCTTTTTTCATTTAGTACTAGAGGCCCAGTGCACGAATTTGTGCACCAATGGGGTCCCTCAGCCTGGCCTGTGGGATTAGGCCGAAACCGGCTCTCCGACATCCCCCAAGGGGATGCAGAGGGTGCAGCCCAGGCCGAGGGACCCCACCGGTGCATGATTGGTGCCGGAGAGATACATGGGAGGTTGGCCCGCTTGGGAGGGCTCCAGGGCATGTCCGGCCCACCTCACTCAGTCCCAATCAGCCAGACCCCAGCAGCAAGCTAACCTACCGGTTGGAGTGTCTGCCCCCTGGTGGTCAGTGCACATCATAGCAAGCAGTTGAGCAGCCTTAGCATATCGTTAGCATATTATGCTTTGATTGGTTGAACGGCCAATCAGATGACCGGACATTTAGCATATTAGGCTTTTATTATATAGGATTATTAACATTGGTCCAGTCATTTTTCCATATTTCTTCCATCTCTAATAGGAAGGGTAGTAATCACCAAAGTTTCTTCTAACTTTGATATTTTGTGATTTATTTTGTACCAGATCTAGGAGAACTGGACTGGGGTTTCTAAACGGTAGTTTGGGTACTTCCAAGTCACCTTATTCTTCTAAAGTAAATAATCATTGCATTCCTAGGGCCCCACCAATCACACAGGCCCCCAGAGGAAATCTAACAGCCCACAGATATCATTTCAATGGTTCTAATTGCCCCGGGTTCAAGTAGGAAGGGTGGCCTTCATTCTAACACTTTTGTTCTGGGTAATGCCAGACACAAGAGGAAAAAGTTTGAGAAAGCTTTCAGCCCTGTGATCTCAAGTCACTGCTTCACTGATAAGTGTCACTTGAAAATGATGTCAGGTATGACCAGCTAAGGCAAGCTGGGAGCCAGAGCCAGGAGCCCTCCCGGCTTCCTGCCTCTCTGTGTTGGTCTTTTCCCAGCAAGACACATCAAGTGAGGCAACTCTAACTTGTGGGGGTGACTGGAGCGTGGTCCTGAAGCAGCTGTGTGATGGCTGAGTGCTTTGCCAGTCCCTCCAGAATAGGGCTGACCCCATTCCAAGGGAAGCCAGCCCCTGGGGAGCCTAGGGACGAGGCTGAGAATGACAGGTCCATTTTCACAGGAAAGGGGATGATCAGTAACCCTGATCACAGTCTATTACGTGGACCCTCCCCCAGCCATCCATCCCCTGGGTTCTGACAGGCTGAAGCAGATGATAGGAAAAGTCACTTATACAACTTGTAGCTGTCTGCAGCCTGGAGATACACATAATGCCCACGGCCGGAACGGCTACAATGAGATGAGCCTGGGTGGCCTCCCAAATCACCGTGCAGTGGACACGCATCAATGATTCATTCTGTGTCTCTAGCAGGCCACGCTCACTCCTGCCTGGGGCCTCTGCATTGGCCACTCTCTCCCCAAAGCTGGGCCCTCAGGTCTCACACAGCTGGCTCCTTTCTACAATTGAAATTTCATTTGCAATATCATTTTCTTAGACCTTCCATGCATACAGCCTCCCAGCACTCTCTATCACAACACTCCATTTTACATTTTATATAGAACTTCTCATTATCTGAAATGACTCTGTCCATTTGTTTTTCTGGTTTATTTTCTATTTTCTCCTTAGAATGTTAACTTAATGAGAGCCAACATCATCTCTGTGTTCTCCAAACTAGCCCAGCACCTAGAAAAATATGTAGCAGATGATAAGGGATCAATAAAAACCAGTAAAATTAAATTGTTAATGGGTTAATTCTATGTAGGACACGTGTGTACTAGCAGTGGTGAGATTTCAAAGCTTCAGGGAAGTTATCACAGACACTTTAATATGCCACCATTTCATGAACCATCCCCTCTCCTCTCCCCCATTAAAAATCGGACAGTCACTATAATCCCTAGGGAGTGGCTCCTGACAGCTATATTTATACTACATAACGTTTTCACTGAGGAATGAATTTGGTTTTAAGTAACGACAATAACAATGACCTATCTCAGTGCACTGTGATTTCAACAGGTAAGTTATCATTCTTCTCGATTAAGAACAAATCAGGAGTGAAATCCAGTGTCAGTGCGGCAGCTCAACCACAGAGGGGCCTTGGCTCCTTCTCCTTTGCACACTCTGTTCCCAGCACACAACTCTCATCTGGTGCTTGTCATATCCTGGTCACAGGATGACTGCTGCACCCCCAGGCATCGCATCTAAATTCCAGAGAAGAGGAGGAAAAGCAAAAGGAGAAAGAGCCACCCATGCCAGGTAAATCTGTTGTTTCTTTTTATTGGGAAAACAAAAGCTTTCCCAGAACCCATATCCAGCCACCTTTATTTACATCTCCTACATTGGTGCTGGGTCACATGGCCACCGCTACACCAATTACTGACAAAGGGAAAAGATTACTAGGACTGCTCAGGGGTGGGGAACATCTGGCCCTCGAGCCATATGAGGCCCTGGAAATCATGTGGTCGGGCCCTGCCAAGGCATTAGGGGGGAGTTAATTAAATGTTTGACCAAATACAGCAGGCTAATTTTTAAGTTGATAATTTTGTATGGCCCACAATAATGTTATAAATATCCAAATGGCCCTTGGCAGACCAAAGGTTCCCCATCCCTGGCTTAGATTGTCACAATTTATCCTCTGGGGCTGGAGAAAGGACCTAATTTTCTT